TGGTATTAAATTTGAATTCAATGATTTCAAATCATTGTATACGACAAACGATTCCAAGTGGAGACGGTATGTCAATTTAGGATATTTAATATTGTTATTACTTATTATAATTATGGTAGCCGGTAAGTTGAATTCATATTATTCTTAAATTATCAGTGATGCTGGAAAAATATTAAATATACCTATGTAAAATTGTGCTGTTTTGGAACCGAATTACAACAAAATGATAACCATTATTTTTTGTGTTAATATGCAATTTTGTTTACATTTAAACTTAAAATGTCTGTAAAAAATAACTGTACTCATATATTTTTAGATTTTTTAGTTAAGGGAAAAACTGCTTAAGTGGAACTTTGTTTGAAATTTTCAATCCTTAACTATATAAACTACAAAATTTTTAACTACAAAATAATTTTAGATTTGATAAATATTGTCAACATTTGAACTTTTAATGCTTATAAAAAAAATCATGCCTATGTATTTTTAATATTTTTCAACTACTATTGTAAAAATATATCAAGAGTCTTGTATTAAATTTTCATGCTTTTTGATCCAACCGATAAAATTGTATTAACATTTATAGAAAAAAAAAAAATGAAAATTGAAAATGTCCGTCAACAGCTTAAAACGAGTCAAAATATTTTGAAAATTTTATCGAGTATATGGATCGATGGAATAAACATTTGGTGTAAATTTCAAGTGTCTACAGTAATCCGTTTTTTAATTTCAATAAAATAAGAAAATCGCTACAAGAAAAATCGAGTGAATATCCAATGTCGTAAACTTCAAACGCTCATAAAAATTTAATTTGACTTTCCGGTAGAATTTTTTTCCTTAACAAAATGTTAAACATGTTTTATCCGAATTGGAATAGAACCGACTTTGTTCGGGAAAATGTTGCACGGGTGATAAAAAATACACATTTACGATATTTTTTTTATGGTAAATGATGACTCCGTCATATTATGGATAGGCAACATATGGTACACTTCTGCCGGTTAGAAGTTTAAAAGTTGTAATACCCGCAGAGCGGCGTAATACACGTAAATACGCAATAAACGTTTAAACTTATGATCGAATTTGAATTTTTCTTAGGTCACTATCCAATCATCAACTTTCCGAATGACGTAAGTTTCTTCTGACGTGGCCCTAAATTTAGGGTTTTTAAACGCTTTGCGCTGATTTTTGGTTCAGACAGCCACTTTGGGCGACGGAAGGGAGTACCTTATTGATCACGGTGTTTAGCGAACAAAAAGTCGTATTAAAAAATGATTTTACTATAATATATTAATATTGCCTGAGAGATATTAATTACCGGAAAATTGGCAGGCAACGCTGTCACAGATGCTCTCCGAGAATCTAAAGCCGCCTTATATATAGCCTCTATCGTATGGGGGAAGAAAATTAATTAAATTAATTCTAATTTCTAAATGTCCATCAGAAGTTTTGATGTATTTTTAGAATTATCATTCAAACTCTAGATTTATACAAACATAGTGAACTATTGTGAAAATACTGCACATAACTTAGGCAGAGCCCTACTTATAATCAAAGGAAAATATTGGTCGATAGACCGATGACAAATCAGCGTTGTATTATATGTGGCCAGAACGGATTTCAGATTTATTGTGGATATTTTAACTAGTAAAAATATTATAAACAACAATACGCGACACTGACAAACAGACTAATCTTTTTTTATCAAAATAAAAGATAAACAAGCACTATTTTCCTCTCAGATTGTTACAGCAGTAGTTGCTTGTTTTACTACTTAAGGGACATGCACATGACCTGTTTTTGCTCAAAAACATGCCTCACGGCAAAAATTCTCACGCCTCGTAAAGTGATCCGATTTCTATAATTTTTTTCTCTCAAAGATAAGACCACTTATGCATTGGATTTGGATTTTCCAAATTCTATTTCTAAACCATGTACGTAATACGATTTTGAATATGACCAATTTTCGCAAGCGTTTGTTATTTTTATGAAGTACATCTGTTTTAAGCAATAAAATTAAAAATCAAAATCCAATGGACCCAGTAGAAAATTATGCTCTTTCAAACGAAACACATAATAATCAATGATTCGTGTACGTTTTCCCTGCAGAGCGTGTTTTGAGAAAAAAATAGTGCCTTTTATTTTTGACTGTTGACATGGGCGCGCTTGCACCGCATGCGTAGATAGCCCAGTATACCCGCATATAAACACACTCATACTAATCAATAACCATCATTGATGACTAATACAAATGCCACTAACGGTCGGGGGCCACGAAATTTGAATATTTGTCATAGTATTTAAGTAAAAGCTATAAAATATTACTTTATGACAAATTTAACAATTTAACAATTCATGTACAAAAAAAAAAAAAAATAAATATAAATTAAAATTAGTAGAAAATTAATTTGATAAGAATATAATTTACTGTAATTTGTTACTACATTCTAGGAAAGGTAGCATGACTAAAGAGGACGTAACACTGGCATTTGTTGTCTTCGTCTTACAAGTGCGTAATATAGCAAATTTACGCTCAGCAGACCGTCGACAGTAAATCGACCTATTATGAAACTTGTTGGTGAGAACATTTTCTATGCGTGAGTATGTAGGTTTTCTACGATAGTTCAATTTTTTAACTCATAATACGGCGTAAATTAAGAAAGCTCAAACTCACTTAAAAATTGAACCATCGTAAAAAACCAACATACAAACACAGATAATGTTTATAGTGTTTATACCATCAAGTTTCATAATAGGTCGACTAACTCTCATTTTTAAAGTAACGAAGCTACAAGTGATCTGATGAGGGCAAATTTGGTATGTTACGCACTTGTAAGACGGAAACAACAAATGCCAGTGTTAAACAATCTATAAATATTTATTTACTTAAAAATAATTCTTGTATTTTTGTTGTTTTTTCGGACATTTTTAATCGACCATTTGCCTCATGTCTTGTAACATTTAAGTTGAATTGTTGATATTTTAAGGTACTACACGGCTTAATACCATATTAATATATTATAACATCGTAAAAATGTATAATACGGAATAAAAATAAAACACCGACGTTTGTCTCAGAATCCATGAAAACTTAATAAAACGAAAATCGTAATCCGCAATGCTGATTAGCGACGAACACGTTCAGTTAATCCTTTGTCATATTGAATGCGATGTTCGTAGATGGCGTTGCAATTATCATCTGATAACAAATGGTTATTATTAAAAAAAATTTGTAAATATAATGCAACAATCGCATATGATCTAACACGTTGCAACTATAAAGATCAAAGAAATTAATACCTATATTATGATATTGATAATGAAAAATTGTTTATTTCTCTGTAGCGTAATAATTATTTTAAAAAGATTTACATTATGACGGTGAGTAAATAATTGACAGTTTTCTTGACCCTTTGATAATCATCATTTTTTTTTCATATTATTTCTATGAAATTGTTGATGGTCATAGGTTTTATTTAACAAGTAAGACACATACATACAATCTATTTAAAACTTTGAAAGAAGAGTATATGCACAATAATATTATTGTCGTTTTTGCTTTTTAATGAGAATAAAAGTTGAACGGATATCATGTCAAAATAATCAACAATTTATTTTCTGCCATGTGTGGATGCTTTGTTTCAGTTATGCATCATATGAAAATTATGTTAATGTCTATGTGCAGAAACAACTTTATATAATTAGCAATTATCTACCTACATTATATCTACCAGAAAACGGGCTAAATACAATACAAATTACAGATGAATATGTCGTTATCAGAGATGTATTATGTGTCAATTTTTAATAATACCAATGGTAAACATTAAACATTATAATAATTTGGATTACTTTTTATAAATACTGTAAAAAAATATTAACTCTGTTGGAATACGAGTATGTCTTCTTATTTAGTACATTGTAGCTTCCAAGTTTTGTCAGTTTACGACGTGCTAGGTTAGGTTCCATCTCCATGTCAGTACCTATATTAACTATCATAATTTTACAGATTCATGTATAGTTAGGTTAGGCTAAAATAAAATATATAATCATGATAATAATTAATAACGCACAGAATCATTTAGTTGTAAGTATCACAGTTTTTAATTCATCATTAATAATTTACACGTAATATTCATCATAATATTCAAAAATCATAAGTAAAATATAATAAAGCCTAAATCTAATATATTTTCTCTCCTTTTTTTTTTTAAATTAAAAACATATCACATTTTGAACGCAACACACCGTACATTTGTTAGGCGAATGACATAAATTGGTACATAGTAAACGTGTTAAAATAGTTCTACATGTACACAGTGTAAATAGCGGAAGGTCATACGACTTTTGAGACCATACATAATATAATATAATATAATATATAATTAGCCGAAAAAGACAGGTAGGTAACTGAACGACGAGTTTGAGAGAAGATAATAATAAAACATAATAATATGTTTAAATGATGAATGTGAACAATAATAATAAATAGAGCACGTTGAATAAAAGCATCGATAATAATAATAATTAAAAAAAATAATAAAAATAAATAATTATATAAAAAAATTACATTGAGCGATTCTTTTAAAATCTTTATTTCTTTTTGTTGGAATGAATATGATGTGATTAACAATACAAATTGTACGACGGATATTTAATAATTGAATATAATATAGAGTATAATATAATATGTATTATATAAAACAAATAATTTAGGTGTCTTTTACCATATTCTAATCAAACATTATTTTATTATTATCGTTATTTTTATTATTATTATTATTATTATTATTATTATATTATTAATATTCAGTAAAAAATATTAAGCTTATCATAATCGAATATATAATATACTCTCGTACATTGTACATACATACAAATATATATATTATGTATATATATTATATCATATTTATAACATTATGACTCGAGCCTACGCGTTCTTACATTCTATTATAATATATTAATATATATATATACAATATACATTATACATATATATGTGTGTGAGGGTATGTTTTACACTCGACGAGTAGGTATGACGTATAATATGCAAGGGGAGGTTTTTTTTTTATTGAATTCGCTTTTGTTTTTCGCACGTGTTATTTGATTTGAATTGACGCGGATGACCGGAGGGAGGAAATATGGTCGACGTTATCGTAACGATGACGCACTGCAATGTGTTTTTTATACTTTTTAAACTTGGAAGAAGCGAATATAAACGGTACGCGGTCCGTGGCCGCGGGGTCGTCGTCGACGGTCGACGGGTTAGACGAAACCGAGTGACCAACTCGCGTTGGCCACGTAGCTATCATTAACTGCCGTCGCGTTTCACAGGCGACCGTATGACGCTGGGCCTGGACGACGACGAAGGGGTGGCGGCGGCTGACGATCGTTTCTGCGACAGTGGCGGTGATTCGATGTCAACCTGTGCGGACGAATGGTCGTAGTCTTCTTTGAAGTGCGGGCCCTCGGACAGTGTCTCTTCGATGATCACGAAGATCTTGTCTTTGTCCGACTGTGAGTGGACAAAAAAACCACCGATTAAACATCATTATGCATCATTTTATTTATAAAAACATATTTTCATCAACGACAATCCATTCTCAACAGATGTGCACTGTACACAGCGGGAAACTGGAGGAGATAAAACAAAAATATGATATTTGGACGAAAACAGTATACACTACTAACAAGGATTTATTTTATCTATAATTTAGGTCCACTCTAACTTCTAGGTTTGATTGAATTAAAGATTAACGAGTGATTGCGATTAAACAATCATTCTGCATAGTGGTACGTACTAGAAATTTGTGAAAATCATTTTCAAAATACAAAACATTATTCTTTAAGTTACAAAAAAAATTAGAAATGTTTTTGCTTCTAATATGGCCGACAAGACATGAACTAAATAAACTTGTACGAATCGCTTATTGGAACAATATTTTCTACAAAATATGCAATAAACAAGAAATCATGAAAATTATGTTTACTAATAAAAGTAGAGTGATTTACAACCCAGCATAAACATTTTTTTGGTCTGAGTGATAAAATCGATTTTTTCCAAGGATGGTTAGATAAAAAATATAGATCAGGTTATTGGCATCCCCCTCTTTGAAGAATTGACATCCGGGTTTGAATTAAACTCACCTCATTGATGAAGCCGAAGTGCACCAACTCCTGAGAGAGAGACAGCGCCGTGTCCGCGTCCGTTATGGAACACGTCAGTTGACGATTCATCTTGTCGTCCATCCGCAGTAGAATTGTCATCTGTGTGGAATAAAAATTGTATAATTAATGGTTCGTACTTCAGTTCGAGACATTTTACTAAGTATTTTATAATACAGAATATATTAATAATTTATTGTACGATGTATATAGTATATGTATTACGTGAATCGGTTTACATAACTATAATATCACGAACAGTCGTTATATAAACCGACATTGTCAAAATGTCTACCGAAGGAGGAGGAATGGAGGACCCCATATACCTAGTCATAATTTCGTACGTGGGGAGATTATAATATATTATTATTATATAATAATATACCGACCATGAAGTCATTTTGAGCATCGTCTCGTGGTTTGATGTTACACATCGTATTGACGATACGTCTGACTTCGACGTCGACCGGGCCGGAGCTGCTTCTATCCGACGGGATGGACTGGTCCATGGAACCAGTTGGACTCTGCGGCTGATACGTGGTAAGCCGTACAGGTCCAGCCTCCAGGGCATATGCAGTCAATGGGTAAATGCCAAATCTGCATTTATGTTAAGAAAAAAACAGAAATCGACGTTATACATTATATTAAATGGACAGCACACGATTTTCACAAAAAAAGAACAATAACAAACTATATAAACGGGTTGTGTGTGGTGGTGGGGGGGGGGTCAGAAGTGAGAAATATTGTTAAATAATATAGTTGTATGTTTGTAGGTGGGAAGTGCTATGAAGTGGTTTTAACTAAAATGCACTAACATTTTACACTTTATTCATAATTTGCATAATATTATAAATTATATAATATACGTCAAGTGTTAAATCAGTTTCGACTTTGTGCAGACTTTAAAATATCGACGGCAATATTTGGTATAATATGACGAGATGAAAAATTAATTTTTGTAATACGACCCCCAACGGTTCAAGTTAAATATAATATATAAATAGCCGCTCGATCCAATAAATATACATTTAAATGAATAATATGGATCGTCTATCGTGGAGTGATCAATTATGTTGGCTAACCGTTTAGATGAAACATTTTATTATTAAACAGTAAATAATATTTTCGAAGTCATGATTTAATGCACACATAAATTGTCAAAACTAAGAAATATGCACTGCAAAATCAGTGAAATGTGCCAAGTTAAATTTCGTTATTTTAACCTTATCGACTTATCTATACATTCTACGAAGCGGAATTTGTACATTAGCCAATATACATATATACCTATTATACAATAATATAATAATATATAAATCAAAATAGTGTTGAAAAAATACGCAAATATGGCAAATCTTATAACTTCCCGAGTCCTAAATCAATAATAATTGTTAATGGATACGGTTATATATTATCTCACTATAGACTATAGATAATAATGTTAGGCATAACACACACCTGACGTCTTCGACGAACTTTTCGAGCTTGTTGCTCTCCGGGACATCGGACATTTTGAACTGGACCAATCGAGTTTCGTCGCCGGGGTACACTATCTCAGCAATCACTTTTTCCTGAGGGTACACCTCATCGGACAGTCGATCGGCAAAATGTTCTAAAAACAGAATAAATAAGATTAAAATTAGTGCTATGAAGGGCGTGCTTATCTGCGGGGCAACTAGAAAAAAGTGTAATCGTAAGACTATTATATTACTATACATGCGATTTACCAAGCATCCTCACCTCCTTTTTCTTCTATAATGCAGTTTTTTAAAATCGGATTTTTTGGAGTTTTTAAATGCATGTATTTACTTAAAGACCATATTTTCGAAAACTTAACAAGCCTCAAGCAAACCCCAAATATGAGACAGACCCTAGGAACGCTTACCAGTCTTGACCAGAGCGTGCGCCGCGAGTAGTTTCAACGCGTGCACCTCAAACAGTACAGGGTGGAAGAGCAACGTCCGGGCAGAAGGACGTTTCTCAAAATCGGCCGTCAGACACTGATAGATCAGGTCCTTTTGCAGCGGATCGTCCAGCGACTCAATCGTGCGGTTGATGTGATCCTGCGTGACTAGCGTACCGCTGTCGCCATTGCCCTGTATCTCCAGCGTGGCCATTTCCAACGCACACATGCCAAACGCGTAAATGTCGATGGCGGGCGTCACGAAATCTGGAATAATTTGGTTTCATAAATAAAAAAACTCATAAAAGTAAAGGGAGAGACGTAGTGGACCTACACATAGGTCGGACGCACGTGTTTTTACACATACACAATGGGGTGACTTTTTACGTTTTATCGGTCGATTAAGTACCAACTTATTTTTCAAGTTCCCTTCTCCCCATTGTTATTACAATACTATTTATGTACATTTTTATGAGGAAAATCAACTTTATTTTGTATATTAACGATTTTTAATGCTATTTTACCAATTTAAAATGTCTGCAAACAATTTTTAGAAAAAAGAACATTTCGACATAAATCTCAAAAATAAAATGTTGTATTTATAACTAGGTACTATACTTAATGTGTACATAACAAATTAATTTAATATTAAACTTTTGGCTCATATTTTTAGTGTTTCTAACTTTCTAAGAGAGTAGAATAAAAAGCCAACAATTAGGTATCTTTTAAATACCTAAAAACTGTACATAAAAATACAACGTACCAAAGTTATATGTACATAGAAAAAAGAATCTCCAGGCAGTTTCAGTGCACCTGTCTATAAATATTATTGAGACAAATTAATTTCACCACTCACTTCCGCATTCAGGCGCGATGAAATGCATGTTTTTCATGTTTTCCCGGCAAGTCTTGATGTGCACGTGAATGGTGTCCGGAGCAACTATAGTTTTTTTTTTTTTTTTAGAAAAAAAATGTCTGTTAGTACCGTCACAATCACAGTCGTGCCTCAGCTCGATCCGACCGCACGTACATTTGACCCGACCGTTTCCGGTCCTGGACAACCCACGCGGTCCTTAACGCCGAAACAATGTATAAGCCGCGAACGCGTTAACAAACCTACACAGAAATATGGGGTAGCCCTAGCATCGTCATTGCCTAGGACCGTCAGCCGGCGCCAAAGTACGGTACGGAACGTTTCGGGGCTTTGGCACTGAAAACAAGTTTTGTTCCGTTTTTGTTTTTAAACCATGCTTAATATCGTAACAATTATCATCACCTTCCATAATAATTGCATACCACGGTATATATATTATATAGGTACGTTATAATGTCTAATGTTTTTTTTTTATATATATATATATTTTTTGGTAATGTTCCCTTACATGGCATGTTTCGCTCGTGCGGTACTTTACCTGATCCTATTTTCACGAGTCCATTGTGTTGGATAAATATCGTGTCACAGGTCAGATTCCCATGGATGATGGGCGGTGAACATGAATGCAAGTAACTGAAAAACAAACCACAACTTTTGTTTTTGTTTTTTTTTTTGTTTTTTTTTTGCTTTCTGGCAGCGGTGGTCTTTCGGACACACACACACACCACGGCCGGATAGCACAATTTTTTTCCCCGCGTTTTCAGACGTTCGTTATTCTACACAGAAAAAAAACACCAGCTATCGGCGGTTGTCCGGTCGGACCGGCGGCGCTCGGGACGACTATATAAATTATTCGTTCTCATATTATATAAAATATCACAATTATAAATAGGTGCTAGTGCACAACACAGTACATATAATATATATGTATATCGTATATATATTTGTTTCATTATATAGAATATACAAAATATAATATATACGTTAGTACACTAAACACAATGTACAATAAAAAAAAATTTAAAAAAAAAAAATTATATATTATATAGGTTTTTATGTTTATTATTTCATGTTTGTGCGCCAAGGCAGCATCAGGCGAATGTGGAAGAAAGATTTTTTGTCGAAGTAGCCAACAAATTGTTGCCCGAACGTGCGACGGGGGAAGCAAAACCACAACGACTATAACATATTCTCCGACAACACGCACGACCCGCGACTATATTATATTTATTATATTATTATTATTATTATTATTAGTATATATACAGGTTGAGTGTGGTGGTGGCGGCAGCGCCAGCGGTGTAGGTTTGGTGAATCGTTTTTCCATATTGATTATAATTTCGGTTTGTTTTTGTCTTATCGTTTTTCGATTTTTAATCCTTCTGAAAAAATACAATTATACACACACACACACACAAATAATAATTGGGCGTGCGCATATGACGGGAGATTATTGCCATCAGTCGAGATCTCGCTGTCCCGGGAGCGGTCTTCCACATCTTCTCCAGAATAGTGAGTTTAAGTTCTGCAATCAGCGGCAGCCACGGCGACGACGACTCTTCCAGTAGGTATTTGTAGCGGGGTGTGATATGTTATTATAATATTATATTATGTTTATCGAGTATTTACCACCGTGTTATTATTATATACTACATACTCACAGATATATTTTATTATTATTATTATATACATACAATATACCTAGCTATATAAATATATATAATATATATACATATATATTATATATATGGACAAAATATATTATTATATATAAGTACACGTAATATTTTATGTTGTTATTCACTATTCTATAGAACATATAATATATACGCTTTGCGCTGCTAACGGAAGTGCGCAACGGTCACGCGACGATTTAAAAAAAAAAATGAAAGTAGAATGATCCTAATACCAACAGGATCGGAGTGTCCAGCTCTAGCACATACCTTAGGGCCGATAGGATTTGCGTGCACCATCGTTTCCACGCGGTCAGTGAAATCTTCTTCACGTTGCGTTTGGTACGCTTTAGGAACTGTTTCAACGAGCCAGAAGACATGTATTCTGTGATGAATATGACCTGCGCAAAACACACAAAAGACGTTATGTATAAGCAGCCGATATTGAGTAATACAACGTTATTATGCACGAGTTGTTTTTTGTGGGCACTAGTTTTTTCCGTGATAAAGTAACATGGCGTATGATGATATTTATGTGGTATGGAGTTATGACGTGGGCATCACGTCGTTCTGTGGAGTTATCATAGTATTATATATACATTTTACCGACCAATCAGAAGATGCGCGATTTGTGTGCTTAGTCCATCAAGTACGGAGAAAAATGTCGTGTTACTTTTTCATGGTTTTCCTCATTTTGTTTTTTAAAATAAGATTCCCTTATTGTAATTATATATTTTCGATAAATAACATACAAATAAATAATAATACAACACCGAACCAATAATCAGTTGGTTGTATAAATAATTTATACAAGCATTTAATGCATCAGCAATTTAGACAGCCACTCGACGCAGTTTTTGTTTTTATCTTTGCAAATACACGGACTAACTATAAGGGTTAACATAAAAAGAAAATAATATTTTTGTATTTTGTAAAAAACCTTCACGGAAAAAAATATTTTAGAGTGTCTATTATTACGTCAACAAAATCCTCCTGTGAGCACGAATGTGAAACTACAAAGTACAAAGTATATGTTATTAAGGGGCAACGTGGGATGATTATATTATAATGTACAGTAGAAATTGCTTGATACAACATCAAAGGGCTGAAATAAGGGACTAAGTTTAAGTTTGGTATCGTTGATTGATAATTTTGACAAGACAGTATACCAAAAAAACACGAGGAAAATTCATCTGAGACTTAAGATTTTGTATACTGAATAAGTTTTACCGTACCTATATCAGAAAGTTGTTTTTTTAAATCAGTGGGAGGGGAGGGGCGATTTTCATTCATGATAAATAGTAATTACACGTGGTTTGTCGTTGTGCGTGTCCGTCCAGTAGCGATGGAAGTTCACGATGTTGGGATGCTGGAGTTGAGTGAGACTTTCAAACACTTGCCGGATCTTGTCTTCTTGGGCCTTGTAGTTTTTGCGCTCCGAGAACTGCACCTCGTTCCACACCACCTCCACGCCCTCTTCAGTGTCCATGGCCAAGTACGCGCAGTCGATTCCGGGAACATCTCGTTGCTCCACCTATACGAGAAAAAAAACCAGAAAGTACCAGCGTTAATTTGTATATTATACCTTCATGATTCTATGAACACAGAGACGTCGTGTCGATTATAATGTCATGTGTTTTATATTAAACGCTTCCTATGTAATTATTTTGTCCATATTACACAACGCTCAATGGCATTATTATAATAATATCAAACATAAAAAATCGAAAGGTAATTATTAAAAAGTCTTGAGATTTAAATACTATTGTATCGTATAGGTACCATGTCAAGCATAAGCATGAATAGTGTGCGGTTATTACGATAAAAATACAACCCGGCAGAAGGAGTTATGTGCAAAGTGTGAGAAACTAAATCGATGTTGATAAACATCAATAAATTGCAGTGCTGCAGAGTATACCAACTAGACCTAATAAGTAATAAAAATGTATTGTACGTAACCGATGCGTCCCCGTAGAGACTCTACAGCACGATATTATTGTAAAGCAATCTAAACGATCTACATAGACCACGAAATTCAACAGCAACGTCGCCACGGTATATGGACGACGTTCCGCCAATATTGTTACAAGACGTGTTCTGACGCAATTATAATGACGTAAACGGAATCAGAAATATTTTAACACGTGCGGCAAAATACGTGTGTCGTTAATATTAATAAAAATTACATTATGCTCATCCGAACTCTTTCTCAGGAGACACTTTCCGAATACATCTAGAGGGTACGAGTGTCTCGCATGAAAGCCATGCATATATTTCTAGTCGTTTAAGTGGTCGGTCGAAAAGTGTCTCAAGTGAAAGAGCTTTAGTAAATAAGACGAAAGTCGTCGAGCTACACCGACGAGTGTAGTCAGTAGGTATGTGCCATGCGCGTACCGATATTCCGTTTTATGGTCGTACACAGTTGTACAGCAAAAACGTGGAATGAATTTTCGGGAACGATCAATATTATATTATATGTATAATATATTACAAGTCAGAGTCGTAAAACTACACCGAGAACGCATAGGAGCACCGTTGTTCCATAAATCACATCATAATGTCAGATTCTGTGAAATTATAAAGGATGTTGCATCAAGGTTTTTTCAATTAATCAGCAATATCGCACATAACCGAAAGATTACAACGAATCGTCGTGATATACTGTCTTAAGAGCATTTTTATATTTTAATAATTAATCTACTCATAACTCGCTTAAATTGTAACTATCGTAAAAAACAACAATCAGACGGACGGACGATTTCAAAAATGAATCTTCTAGGTATTCTAGAATATTAGTACCTGTCTAGCATATAGGTAGGTATATATTTTTATTCTTTAGAGGACGTCTCGCCCGCATATTTTACTAACGTGTACAACATGGCAAATATTTTTATTCAGCAGAACTCATTTTACGTTGTTAGTTCAATATCAAAGCATCAAAAGAGCACTTTATTTAAAGTGATTTAACGAATAATAAATTAATTTTATTAAATCTTTATTATTAATATCTAGTATGCAAAAAATATATTATACAATTTGTTATACATATGTTGGGTCGTTTAAATAATAAAGACTCAAGGCATATAATTACAAATCTCCCAATAATTTGAGTTCTCACTGTGAAAAATATTTAGACAGAAACATCATTTGCTCTCACGAATACTAAAAAACAATCGAAATGAAATGCTCTTAAAATCATTATGTATATATAGTAGTGCACTTAATGCATTATTAATTATTTTGTATTCTATTATGCGGCAGCAATTACGAAATTGTTCTCTACACCGTAGGAGCTGGCACAACGACACGTGCACCGTCTTGCACAATGACAATATTTACTTATACAACATAGACACATCAGCTCACTGCTGTTAAGTTTGGCATAAGTCGATATTATTATATTATTATGCGACAATTAACGATTACTTTTGGGACATGGATAGGGTAAAACTGTTAACTGTTAAGTATAAAGTCATTAAGAAGTACCTATTTAATACATAATCGGAGGAACTCAACGAACACGCTATGTTTAAGGTTTAAGTAATCTATTCGTCAGTAGAACGACTAAAAACCAACGAGGAAACTGCGTTTTACGATATTCCGGCACAATAATTGTGTGAGAATTGTGTGAGAACGACGATATAAATAACAACAACAACAAATGCAATAATCGATTAGTTATTTTCCGAACGTCTGCACGAAAATAAAACCGAAAACAACGATCACGAAAATAAATTACTTTGTTTCGAGATATTAATGCACGAAATACACGATATTTATTATAAGTAGTACACAATATTGTATTTACATAATATCATTGTTGAATACTCCGTTGTATTCACGGTTATTAATTTAAGGCTTCTAGTACAAAGGACAAAGATTATAATATTAGCCTAATATATTATACAATATATTTAAGTTACTGGAGTTAAGTTGTACATTATTTATATTTGCTCGATTAGGTGGTTTATATTCAAGAAGTATTATAATTAAGTGACGTAGATGAGTCGTCACTCGTCCATGCAGCAAGTTATCATCGTATGAAGCATTTGTAGTATGGTCGGATTCGTTTTGATAATGACAAATAAACACCGGATACGACGTATTACTATACATGAATATTATACTCGAACATTTAAGTATAAGTCCCATTACGCGCCATTATTCTTATACTGTCGGAAATAAGACGGTGAGGATGATTTGCGTCACATAAACGGAAACGCGAAGCCAGTAATCACTCTCAATGAGTGTTATTATTTGACACTTTTCGCGGCTATAAGCTTCTCGGCGCCGTATCGCATATCTCAACTACTTGAGACAAGTATTAACACATTTCGACAAGTTTTCTACGAAGTCCAAACTTATAACGGCAACACACGAAAACAATAATTATGTATACACTATATACGAGTTGAATTGACGATAGCCATTGGCCATAATGCAAATGAAGGGAAACTCGTGTACATTAGTTGGTTCTGAAATGTAAAAAATGTGTAAATACTATGAGTCTATGAAATATAAAGATAAAAATTGGTTCAACTATATTATTATTATCGTAATTAAAAATGTTTTACAACGCCTATATCATTGGACAATTTATCCAACTCTGCCTGTATAGGTTTTAGTTGTTGTCAACTGAGGTATAATGTCTGTAAGAAAAATAAGTCTATCAAATTCTAAAATACGACTTGGAAGTATTTATTGTACGGGTGGGGAGGCTCAACATGAATATTCGACCGTTGATGAAAGTAAGTGGGGAGATATGCGCTAAATTCCCGCAGGCGAATAAAACCAATTATATTATGTTAGGTTTTCGCAACGTTCCGCAAACGTCCGTTTTCGACAAAACAACAACTCTTGACCATAATCGTGTTTTTAAAAACACGACCATTAAAAACGCACATAGGTATGACAATTGTTATTTGTTGTCGACACTACGTCACTTCGGACGTGAAATTTGAACAACAATAATATTATTACATTTTAACGCAGAAACAGCGTAAACAACAATATTATATTATACATAACATAATACGACTGCAGGTTTCGAAAGCAACTGAAATATATGAGTGAATTTATAATATTAAATACAACCGTGAAAAGGATTTGGAAGTAGCAATGAGATATATTCCTAATCTCCTACGCAGCATCTGCAGTATTATACGTGTGGTTCGCCGACAATCGAGTGTACGTTTCGATTTTTCAAGACACCGTTCATGTGTGGGGGTTCCTGATCCAGGGTCGCTGTCAGGACCCTGGGGCTATTTTGAAAAAAGAACCAATCATTTAAGCTCCACGATAACCTTCACTATACATTACCGAAATGTCGTTGAAATAAAACGCGAATAAAACTATCATATTACGCGTATAGTGCCTACCCGAAATGTTCGCAAAGTTGATAAAATAAATAAAACACAGTATGTATAATTTTCTACTACAACTAGCTGTAGTTATACGCGAATTATATTGATTATATTTTATTTTTTATTTGATAGTGAGAGTTATATCATCGATATTTGTTTATGGTGAAAACTACACAGTTTTAACCAATGTTCAAAACAGTAAAAACGACATGATTTTCTTTCGAGAGTTTTTTTTTCGGTCATGTTTTGTTCACGCAAGCCCCGAAACCCGACCTCGCATACGCCTTGTTGTTGTTTTTACTTTGATCCCCGCCTCCGTCCCCTATAACGTTTATAAACATGTATATTGTGTGCATACACGGTCCACCGGAGTCGGCCTCGTCACGACGATAATGTATATACGGAGACACGTTAAATTCGAAAATAGACGTGCAAGCAATTTATTTTTTGCACAAAGCGTAATCGGCCAAAAACTTTTTTCTCTCACATATAAAATCGCATTTATTTTTATTATTTTTTTTTATCTAACAGGCACGCGATATTACCGAGTAGCGCGTTGTGATAGCGACCCTAAGGCACATCCACTGCTGCAGTATAGTACGTCGTCGTCGTTATTATTTTAGTCTAGGGTACGAAGAATATTATACAGATGACCAGCACGTGGATTTCAATGACAAGGCCACAATTCGGCGGCAAAGGCATATAAACTGAAAAAAATAAGTTTTCGTTTGTCTAATCGAGCGAGCAAGTTCATCTTAAATGCGCGCGACAACGACACACCTCATCATATATATTATATTAAATATACTGATCGAAGTACTTGCCAAATAGTTGTTATGCCGGTAAACGACGTTCCAACTACTGAACCCAAAACCGTTTTTAACTGTGAAAACGGTAAAAATAATAAAATACATACTTCGCTACCGCAGATATTATATAGTTAGTGATGAAATCGCCGCCATATGACGTATGATAAAAGCGAATTTTTCACAGGTCGTTTAATGCGATTAAGCACTGCTTGTAGTAGGCACTAGAATTTGATTTTGCAGAAATTAACATGCGTACCTTTAACCTCAACCCTGAAATCTCGACGCCAGAAGCGGACGGATGATTAACATTTGCCAAAAATAATCTCGGAGAACGGGTATGCTTAAATAGCCCACGACCATCT